CATCGCTATAGTAGGTTGGAGGCCATCGCTATAGTAGGTTGGAGGCCCTACAAAGGCACTGGATGACCTCTTAGGATCTACCGCAGCCATTGACCTCTTAGGCCTGGACGACGCGACCTCGTAGAGGAGAGTTGCCCTCAGTTCTTTGCAGCTCTTGCCGAATTGAGATGTCATTCGCCCCTTTGATCAATTGAGGTCCTTGCACGCCAGACAAGTCGATACCAGGGTTTGGTACCTAGCCCGGGTCATCGATCAACAACGAAATTGCTATTGAAATTCTTCGGCCTGGATCACAATATCGAGGACTGAGAGTCTCAAATCGACGGCCTAATGAGACTAGTCAAGGAGAAAAAAACAAGTTGAATCATGGCCAAACCACGGGGATCCTGAGGGCTCTGCCCCTATGCTCATGAAGGCAAACCTGCCCCGGCCGACGTTTCTTTTCATCTGGTTTCTTCTGCTTGTTTGTTTATTCATTCAACCTGGTCTGATGAAAACACCAAACAAGCAACCGATGTCTGCGCCTGATGATGATGACATCGAACATGGCTTGGACGAGACCCAAAAGACCTTGCACCTGAACGGCTCCCAAAGCTACCGCCGGACGAACGGATACCACACATTCTCAGAGCTCGCGACCACGGTTTCACAGAAGGCGAAGATGATCGCAGCCACGTTGGGTGGCTTGATCCTGAGCTTTTCAATCTTCTTCAAGCCGGTCATCCCTCTCTACAGTTAACCTCCTCAATAAAAGCCAACAGAGGGTCACCACATCGGGTTTTCCAGACAAGGTGCTGGAGAACGGCACCGCCTTCAGGATCTCCTAGTGGCAAGCCCAAGACGAGAGCCATACGCTTCCTAAGGGCATCAAGAGCATGCTGACACTGAACTTCGAATCCACACAGGGAGACTGTTTCATGATTTGAGTTCCCGGCCGTTGAGCTGGATTCTTGGGATGATATCGCCTTGATATAATTCCACTCATCTTTGGTCATTGTTCGAAAGTTCGAACGAAAGAAAGAAAAAAAATATAAAAATAATGAATGAATGAGTGAGTGAGTGAATGAACGAATGAATGAATGAGTGAGTGAGTGAAAAATATTACAAAAAAAAAAAAATCCCGGCAAGAGACCCCAAACCCAAACTGTGTGTCTACAGGTCAAAGGTCTAGAGGTGTAGAACAGAAGGTCTAGAGTTTAGAGGTCCAGACACATTGGGTTCCAGACGGCGATGATCGTGTTGATGGTGGTGGTGATGGTGATGCTGGTGGGTGAATGGTGGTGGTGAGGTGATGGTGACGGTGGTAATGCAGGTTCACAAACCAAGTGCAGGCCTAGAACGAAAAGGAGAACACATTTGCTGCGCCTCCCACGAACTCACCACTTCAAGGTCCACAAAGGAATCCGCGCGCCACGAAACCTATATACACTTCAAGGTTCACAAAGTACTGCGCCTGCCACATAATCTGCACCTCAAGGTCCACAAAGCGCTGCACTTGCCACAAAATCTGCACTTAGAGGTACAAAGTGCTGCGTCTGCAACGAAATCTGCACTTCAAGGTCCACAAAGCACTGCCCCTGCCACAAGATCCGCGCATCAAGGTCCACAAAATGCTGCGCCTGCCACGAAATCTGCACTTCGCCTGCCACGAAACCTGCACTTCAAGGTCCACAAAGTACTTCGCCCGCCACGAAATCTCCACATCAAGCGTCACATCGCGCAGACCTGCCAAAGTGATTCGCAGCAAGAGCACTTCCAAAGACAACATCAAGATGCCAAAGCGCAGCTTTCGGTTGAGCCTTCCTCCGATTTCTGAAAACGAACCACATGTCCAAAAGTCACGGTTCAGCGCACGAAATCAGAGCGCGCAGAAGACCACCACCATGTCCAAAGTACTGCGCCTGCCATGAATTCTATGCATCGACATAAAACCGCTCTGATCTCCTGCGCACAAAGTCAACTTGGGACCGCCACAAAAAGAGGTTTCCATTGCGCCTGACAACAAAAACTACTAACCAAGCCCAACAATGCGCACTCACCACAACGAGAGCGCAGTCTCGAAGAGCATCTGCGCAGTCGAAATGCACTTCGATCATCTCGAGGTGAATGAATGTCCTGTAAATAGTAGTAAAACAATGTGTATATATATATACACACATATTTATGTATATAGTGGTATATTTGCACTTGTCCTTTGTTATGCAGTTCCTGTACTGATGGGCATGAGGGGCGCCTACGGGCGCGGCATTGATTCTTTTGACTTAGTGTCACACGTCTTCTCTCACCCCCGTATTCTATGGCACGCAAAAAAAGAAGTGGTAAATTGTTGTTATATATATATATACATATACATTTGACATAGATAAATGCTTCGTGGACAACTTGGGCCACAGCGACTTGGACCAGCGGATGAAGAAACTGCAGGCCAACACAACCCTGCCGGGTGTCCAAGATTTTGCTGCCGACGTTGACACTACAGTACTATGCAACTGCTGATGCAAGGAGACAAACAACGCTACACAATCCACTCATCTCACGACTCTACAGCTGCCTGGCCTGGTCAAGATCTCCGAAAAGATGTAGGACAAGACCTTGTGTTGAGTGGAGCTGACTCACATGACTGCGGTAAAGTCCTTTGGCAAGGTCAAGGTCCAAACCGCCCAAATCAGCATAGAGCCAACCAGGAAGCCCAGCAGCAGAAGTAAAATCCTGATTTGACAGGAAGAAGACCCTACAATAGCTGCAACTGTGCGCTGCAACTGTGCGTCATTATAGGCCATAGGGTTGTACACAGGATTTTACTCGACACAGGACACCCAGTATCAGGCCTCTTCAGAACCAGCGTCCAGCTACGATCCAGTGGAGTCCTTCTTACCAGTTGCAACCTTGGTAAACAACTCTTTGAGACATTGAGAGATTGGGCCCAAGTCCAAATCCAAAACATCACTCAGGCCCCTGCAGAATTGTCGGTATCAAGCCACCTCCTTGGAGCCACCTGAGGGTGAAGATGGGTAAACGTCCAGTCTCCAAGAACCAAACCCCTGGCTGTAAGAGAAGATGCATCGTGCAATATTGCAGATGCGCACGCTAGGCACACCACCTGTGAGTGGGGCCACAGATGCGATACCATATCCTAGCGGGTGCCAGCTGCCAACAGCAACCGTTTACGAATCATTTAGACATGTCTGACCAACTCTGATCAACTACCGTGCTCATACTGATAAAAGCTTTGCAAATCCTGGCAAGACACAATTTAAGCTGGAGTCCTTTCTGGGCAGGTGATTGTGCCATCCGCTTGGGCTGCAGGCTTTGGGATCTTAATCATGCAAGACAGCATACAAAGTTGCAGAACCAAATGACATCAGCCAGGATTAGGATAGTTGATGTTGCAATCATACATGTGAGTGTGAGAACAGAAGTGGCGACTCAATAAGAACAGGGCAACTCACTTGCTTCAAGTTGAAAACCTATTGGACAGAGCTGAGGAACTGTGTAGATTATGAGGAAAAGCATTGCTGCCATCACTCCGATGAAGGGCAAGACTGTCCTAAGATTGACTGCAAGAGACAACTAAGCTCAAGTGCAAATGGAAACGGATCCTTCGCGATCTAAGCATTGAGAAGCGACGTAAAAGAAAATGCATCATGGACGACAACAAACTTCAGAAAGTTATAAGAGACTGTAGACTCCGTACACATATGCATCGCGAACATGCATTTGGAGGCCATTCCTAGTAGGTTGGAGGCCATCGCTATAGTAGGTTGGAGGCCATTCCTAGTTCCTAGTTTCTACGAAGTAGGTTATTTCTTCAAAGTTAATGTGTTCATCAATGGCCTTTGTTTTAGCCTCTGGGTCAACTCAGCTCCTTGCGCAGACTGAATGATGATGAGCTCAAAGCCTGGTTGTTTCGAGTCGGGTCTTCGAAGAAAAGAATAAGATGAGGAAATGAATAGACCAAGTGCAGGAACTGAACCTTCAGTTTCCGTGAAAAACATAAATAGTTAAGTATACTGACCTTGTTCAACCTATATTTGTTTTCAGAACGGAAGCGCCACTGACTGGATAGGAGAAGGTGAGAAGCAACAATAATAACACCAGCAGCAGAAAGAGCGTGGCATTGCTGTGCTTAGCAGGTAAACACATTGGTACCAGGCACGCTACATGCCTCCACAACCACAAGGCGGGCGCTACCGGTGTTGCAAGCGGAAAAAAACTTGACAGGGAAGTCTTTACCAAGGCAGGCGTTGCATGGTGTGGGCAGAGAAGGAAATGTGAGAGTGTCACTAGTGATAGGCAGCGCGCCTATTCCTATGCGGAAACTTCAAAATGAGCCAAGGAAGAATGCAAAACTGGGAGATCAACGAGATTAAGACTCGTCATTGCTTTCTTAACAAGCGCCTACGCAGAGTGCCTTTAGCCTAAGGACACATAGACGCATAGCACCCTATAACTGCAGCCTGCACAAATCCGAATATGCAAACCATGAGGTGCGACACAAGGTTCCTGCCGTCTTTGAAATCTTGTTTTTTCAAAGTTCAACATCCGAAAGATTGTTTGGTGCTACCCATCTTTGGCCAAATCAGTCGCCTACACCCGCTCCAGCCCTTGCTTCTTCTGCAATCTTCTCATCCAGCAGCTCATCCTCGAAAACCTCAAAAAGGAAGAGTTATATATGTATGTGTATATATATATATATGCAATTGTGTTCACTGGCTGTAAACTCACTGGATCACTAGAAACACAGGAAATTCTAAGACTGCCAAGGCATCAATTTCTTCGACTGTCAAAAGCTCCAGCTGCCTTCTGGTTCACGTTGTAGTTGCAGCAGCAGCGGGAGGTGCCCTCTTCCTTGATAAAAGCAGAGTCACATGCAAAGGCTTCAAGTAGCGGTGACAATGCAAAGAAAGCAACATGCAAAGATCTGTTTCAGGCCAAGTTGCAATGGGGCAACAGTTTCCGACAAAGCCCGCCTGCACTGTCAACTTGCAAACCCCTCAAATCAGCTTCTCTCCAAACCGTTGAACACATTCAATTCCTCTTTCATGCTGGATCCTGTTCGGAAACCCAAATGCACAGAACCCTGTGTGCATCCCCTATCGTGGCTCCCTTTTTCCGCATGGAAATCAGGAGACCATCAACCAATAGACTTCTGATTGAAAGACCAGGCCTGACCGCACACGGGATGCTTATCACAGAAGCGATCTGCCATCAACTTGACGGACCCCGGATTGGGGATTTCGCAAACCTCAAGCTCGAGTCCGGAGAGGTGAGATCTAGGAACCATGTATTATTGTTGTTCGACATCAAATTGATATAATGAATATACATGGCAATAAATGACAAGAATGCAAGGAGAAACAAAACGAAACGGCACAGCAAAACCTTGGGTAAAACATAATTGAAACCTCAAGAGGTCGAAACACTGGTCCTCAAGGGTCTTATGCTTGCTGTTTGCTTCTCTCGTGGACGTTGTCCATTTTTCTCTTAGTCTATGTTGGAAGTCTAGGAGTCTAGTTACTTACAGTAGTTGAACGCTCTGTGGACCAGTCCTTACCTTCAGGACACACTTCCCATTCACTAAGTGATCCCAAAGGTTCATCCGCCTTTGTTGGTGTTGTGCTAAGTTGCCAGGCCATGAACGTTTTGCTCCTAGTAGCGTCCTTGTTCCTAGTAGTATGGCCAGGAGCCCCTAGTAGCGCCTTGCTCCTAGTAGCGATGCCCTTTGCTCCTAGTAGCGTCCTCCACCCCCCCATGGTTTTCGGAAGTGAGGTCAGATTCTGGGCTGAGGAGGAATTTTGCAATATCACGCATGAGCTTGAATATGCGCACACATACAACGTGAGAGCTGTGGATATGGTCTGTCACCGGTAGGACCCTTGGAAAACAAAAGTGATGCTCCCGCCATTTTTCTCAAACTTATGTTTCTCTTAATGCTATGTATGTGTATGGAAAATAAGCTCTAATGCAAAGCGCACTCAACTAACTATCAACTTTGGCTGCCTATTTTGCTGGTGCAGCAGGGCTCCAAAGAAGCAATCCACTTCATTGACCCTATTTGAATGTCTCCTCACCTGCTGGAAAAGTCTAAGCAAATCTAAGTGCAATCTGAGCAACATCACTTTGTCTGCGACTCCTGCTCTCAATGACAGGTGCTAAAGCAATGGCGCTGGAGAGTTGTCCGCTCTGTGCTAGCTGGACTTGTTCTGGACTCAAGGTAGGACATGGCGCCACATTCTTAAAGACTGCTTCAATGGTAAAGACTTCACCGGTATCTGCCACGTGTCGCCACGTGGCTGGCGCCCAATCCGTGCCATTCCAACGTTCCAAGGTCACCGTCTTGGCCGGGTCGCAGCAGTCACTGGCCGAGCTACGGGACTGAGTGAGCTTCACACATCGGACCGTGACCGGAAGACCTTCGAACTTGCGACTAAAGTCTAAACCGACCCATTCCAAACCTGCACGACAATCGGCTTCCTCATTGGCTCGACTACCAGCTCCACATTGAGCAGTCCAAGTGGTTGCATCCTTTCCATCAAAGGCCAAGTGTGGTCCTGTGCCACTGAGCGGAGCAATGCCGGCTTCACGAGTGCCACTGGCAACCACATCTACACCATCCTCATCGGGCCCCGGGAGCTGCTGGGAGCAATCATCATCTGCAAAGAATTTCACCTCACTGACACCCCAAGACCTGTGCCATCCCCTCTCTTGCGCACCTACACAAACCTTCTCAGACCGTTCAGCATATCCCACACGCCACATGGTGTCTGGAGGAACTGGGCGACGATTCCAGGTGTCTCCACCTCACAGGGCTAGAAACAACGGGTACTGGGAACAGAAGCCAACCCCTGGGATGTCGGTCCAACCAAGAACCAAAACATGGAACTCAAAAAAACAGCTTGAAATTGAAAAACCTCTCACCGTCATTCCGGCCTATCCCGTGGAACTCACTCTGTGGTTCGAACGAATTGCCAGTCCAAGCAGCAAGGGTCATGCTCCTCACCGACTGAGTTCTCACACCGCTCTGCTTGATGCGGATACATCGGACGATTCGCCCTATTCCATCCAAATCGAGACCAAGCCAGGCTTCCCCTGCGGAGCAAACTCCGTTGATACAGTGTGCCTCCCAGAAAGTAAGTATGTCCTTGTCAAATGCTTTGTGTGGATTGCGATGGCCACTAAAGTCATCCGCTAGAGTTGCATCTTCAGCTGAGCTGATGGGCTCGCCCACGACTGGATCTCCACGGCAAGCAAGGTCGGTGTAGAATTCTAATTCGAAGACCTTCCATGCTGAAATACCGTAACCATTTTGCAGTCTCCAGATTGAGTAGACAGGGGCAGGCCTTCTTTGGAACCCTTGCCCTCCCAAGTCTCGTAATGGCAGCAGAAGAACCGAGTCCACATTGAAGACATTGTTTGTTGGCGCATTTAAAGATTTCCAGGTGTTCCCATTCCACCCCTGCAGCTCCCCTGTTGCCGGTTGCAATGATCGAATTCCCGGGAAGGCCACCTTGATGCATTGAACATCTGCAACTTGCGAAGAGAAGTCCAAGCCAAGCCATGCGCGGCTTCCGGCGATGTCAGCCCAAAAAGTGTGCAGTTCTCCATCAAAAGCCATCATGGGATCTGCACTGACCAGCTCTCCCATCTTCGAATAGTGATTGGTGTATCCTGTTTTATCTCCAACTTCACGGGAGGTGGCATAGCCCGAGCAAATTGGCATGATGTTCGGTATAGAAGCCATGATGGGGTTCGTGCAATCCGAATTTCCTTGGAGGAGCGTGCTTGCAAACTCTGTCCTTAAGGGTGATTACGACGTTACGCTGTTTGGTGGACGCATTGCGTTCTACGCCATTACGACGATACACCAGTCGATACCCTCCCAAACCCTAAGCCCTAAACCCTTGGTGTATCGGTGTATCGGTGCGAACGCGTTTATAGGGACATGCTTTGCAGGCGCTGTGCCTTGGAGAGGGCAGGAGATCAAGGTCGTTTGCACTCTGGCAAAAATAGAACACCGTTTTGTCAGATGGGCATGAAACAGCGAGGCCACTGAGGCTACCGAGGCGACCCAAGACATGGTTTTCTCTGCCAAAAAGAAACAGCCATGTCGCAAGTTAGTAGGCCATCGCTTCTAGGTTGGAGGCCATTCCTATTATATATTATGGTCATGTTCCATTTGTCACTGAGGCTCGATAGAAGGTGATCTCGCTGATGCCAACCCCATGACCGCCGGGCCTCGGGTCCGCCAAGACCCGCCACATCGACGCGCGCAAGCCCGGCAACACTTGCCATGCACCACCTCCAAGCTCAGTGAAGATTGGGTGCTCCTGAAAGGAAAATCGGAATTCCCTGTGAGATTTATCGACCAAACTGAGTTTTGAGCTTTTCTGCTGCAAGTTATATAATTCTGTTTCAGTTCTGGCAAGCATGAGTACATGCAGCTGCATCACCTGTGTGTATACGTGTATACTTTCAGTTTTTGTTGACTTGTTGGAGATTGCACCAGGGAAGCAATTTGGAGATGTTTAGAGATTTTGCGCAAATAGCAGATGAGCTGGAACTAGTTGCGTCGAGAAAACGAATACAAAACAAACAAAGAATCTGCTAGAATGCTGAGTTTCCCTGGAAGGAGTCCAAACCAGGCCATCCCAAACTTGCAGAACAGCTGTCGAGGCTTGTCTCATGCGTTCACGTGTTTGATAAAGGCGAATGCAGTAGACTGTGAAGGCCTCCTGCTTCTGCAAGCCAAGCCAGGCTGCGTTGGCCATACAGCCTAGGTGACCTGTGAAGGCGGGAGTGCAACTAGTAATCCACTGAGTCTCAATATGATCATCAAAAGCATCGGCTGAAGGATATAGCAACTCGTTGCCATTGGTAATGGGATTTCCATGAATAGGAATGTTGCATCCTTCATCTGCATAGAACGCCAGGCCAGTGACTGTCCAAGGACGATCTGTTTCAACTATGTTCAGCAAGCGCCACATGGTCGAAACGCCGCTGGGGCGTCGATTCCATGTTCCACCTCCAACGCCTGACTCGAAGCGTCGGGTCTCCCAGGCATCCCCCATCCACTCAGCGAGCTCGAGCGCATCGGTGCGATGTTCCACGTTCTCGCTCTGCAGGAGACGAAAGCACTTGATCTCGGTGGCCATCGGAAAGCGAAGGCCAATCCACGCACTCCGCTGGTCACATGGGGAACATGAAGATTGCCAGCCCGTCACAATTTTGCCATCAAAAGCATTGTTGGCACAACTGCCAAGATCTGTCCAGCAGGCCACTTCTTGAGCATCAGACAACAATGCAGGGTTGCTATTCACTGACTCGCCCGTTTTGGGTCGACCAGCACATTCCTCATTGTCATAAAACTCGAGCTCGTAGACCCTCCAGTCTTGCAGAATCCGGTCAAAGTTGGCAATTCGCCAGGCAGTGTGTGTTTCTGGCATCGTGTCATTCCAGCCTCCCTGACCCAAACCAGAAAACACCGTCCGGTCCTCCCACTTGAAGCCATCCCAACTTTGCAACAAAATCCTAGAGGTAAAGTGCGGTGTTCCCCATCCTTCATAGAACCCTTCGTGCACAGGCTGATTGATACGAATGCATCGAACTCTCTTTGGCAAAACATCAAAATCCAAACCAATCCAAACGGATTTGGCCGCACATCCGTTCCAGAAGTCGCAGTTGGCAATCCATGTCCCTTCTAATCTTGGCAGTCGATACCCCGGCATCTTGATGCCATCAAAGGCCTTCCTTGCAACATACTGATCACAGGTCCTATCCTGGATGCAGGTGTCCTCGAAGTATGCACCATTCGAGATCGGAGTTCCAAAAGCCTGCTTGTCCTCTTCACAAAATAGATCAGTAAAGAACATCACTTCTGCCACTTGCCACGGTCTTGGCATCGGATCTAAATTCCAAATCCTCCAAAGCGATTCCTCACGAGCTGGCCTGGTATGCCAGGCTCCGCCTGCTAAGTCACCGTAGTCATATATGACATGCCAACTCAAAAGACTCTCATTCTCCCATGTAACAATCCCAATCTTGGAGGACTGTCGAGTTGCATTCGGAGATTGATAAATTCTCGTGCAGCGAACCTGAGCAAACTTTTCCACTGGCTCTTTGTTCAAAGGGATTGAATCACCAATGTTTTTGCCTACCCATTGCGTATATGGGCTACAACCTCCAAGAATTTGTCTGCAATTTGCTGACCACTTCGTGAGGAGGTTCTGGTCCCAGGCCATTTTCTCGTTGTTGTCTGGGAAAGAACTGATCACTGACGATGCTATCGCAAGTCCTTGAGGGAAAGGCAGTGTGCACTGGCTATCCCAATAGAACTCCAGCTCGTGAACCTCCCAGAATTCTCTGATAACTTGAGCATTGATCACGGCCCACCTCCTGCACCACAAAGTGAATCATTTGAGGTTGGGAGTGGAAGTTAGGAGAAAGCGCATAGAGAGTGGTAGCAGTCCCCTCACTGGTACTCAAATCAATGCATGGTACGATGGTTACCATGATTGTTTCTTGTGCTCATTTCTGGTGATTTGAGCTGTCTGCCTGTCTGCGGTGATCAAGTGTTGATTTGCACCATGATGTCTGATTATGATGTATTCCGGATGTCCAATCGATTCAGAGTTCAGGGACGGGATATTCAGATATTCCCTAAGTTCCCAAGACGTTGCCCCTACACGGTTCCTATATGTTTTGGTGTTTTTGGGATTGCAAGAACATGCTATGTCTTCTCCAGTACACATCTCGGTGTAGGGGTTTTGCACTGGAGGTGGAGAAATCAAGTCCATAATTTCCTTTTGAATTCTGACCGCTCCTTCTCAGCTCGCTTTGGTGATTTGCTCCAAGGAATGATTAGATTGAACAATGGCGTTGGTTTAAAGGGGTCTTGACAAATAAGGATGAAAGTGTCAAAACAACTGCGACCAAGCATCCTGCCACAGTAGGGATCAACTGTCAGGTTCTTCTGCTTGCGATTGTAGCATATCTCAACTTCCGCTGGTTGAGCCTCCCGAAACTGACCGGAGATCGAACACATGCTCAAGAGCGGAGTGACAAGAATGACACACAAGCCGCCTGCAAGGTGCCCTGCGCCTCGGATGCAACACCATGAAGTTCTTTGTCCAAAAGAATGCCAAACCCTTTCGGTTCGTGGTTTACAACTCAACGATCAAGAGCCGCCCATTGCCAAGCGTCTAGGACTAGCGACGGGATCGCAAGGAAAAGCCCAGCCAAGAACACCTTCAACATTAGCAGCGTCTCCTTTTGCTCCAACACAAGAGCCAGTGCTCAGGCAATTGAAAAGCAATCACTGGAAAGACAGAATCGGGAGTCATCGATCGCTAACTGTGATATACTATGTCAAAGGTTTTTGTGCACCGCAGAAAAGAAAGTCAGGGCGATCTCGATCGTGCAAGGCCTACCAAAAATGCTCCTCTTGCACATTCTTGCCGACTTCCCAACCATCATGGATTCAGTGAGTCACTAAGGCCCAAAGAAAATGCACAATACGATAAAAAATCAGAGTGTTTGCACGGACTTAGACTGCTTGATGTATGCTGGTTGTGCTGGACGACATTGACATGTTTGATGCTTTTCTTTGCAAACTGCAGCCACGTTGACAATGATTGACATCATGGAGCACATGAAAACATCGGTTGCATCCTCGTTATGGGGTGCAGTTCCTCACTCCAAGAGACATGAAGAACACCAATGCTTGCAAGAAAAGATCAAGAAATCAAGAAAGTATTTCCAGTGCCTGTAAAAGTCCATTCAGGATTCATGTCCACTTCCTGCAGTACCACCAACAGGATGTATTCTAATTGTTGAGAGTCGTTGAATTGGGCAACAAACACAGCCTGCTTTGCTGTGCACCAACTGTGTTTTTGAAAACATTAACACACTGAGCGCTTGCATGAACGTGCACTGCGAGTCACTCACTTGACAAGGAATATGAAACTACTTTTATGGTTGTTTGACCCACACCCGCACAGCAAAAGTAATGGAAGGTCAAATGAACAACTTTTCAGAACAACTGACGGTTCAGTGTCCCTCTGGTGTGTTTCAATCACATGCTCCAATGAACTGTTGGTCAATGGAACTAATCCAACAAAACAAACATGAAGAACCATTTGTGATAACTGCAGCCATCAAACCTCTGTCGCTGAAATCCTAAATCCCACTCCATTTCACAATGACAATGCCGAAAATGCGTAATATTTGGTTTGGCATCATCTGCATATTTTGAAGATCATCAAATGTTGATTGTTGCTACAGTATGTTTAATCACAAACCAAATAAAAATGTCATTGCCATAGGCCACTGTCAACTCATTCCTGATTCTTTTATATATTAATGTTGATTATTGTTTGCCTGATAAACAATAAACAAGCAGTTGTTTCACAATCACCAACTGGCCCTGGCATGCAAAGTAACATCTGAAGCATACCAATGTTCACTGATAACTGATAACCCCCATGTGATAGATGTTCGCATATTCTGGCACCAAAAGATCGAACACTAAATTGAATAGACAAGGCGGTGCAAAACATGTGGTGGGGGCAGTGTCCAAAAGTTTGCTTTGAACCCCGCCAATGTCAAAAAAATGATCCGTCAAAACCCTGTGCAGTGATCACAAGTCTCACGAAATATGTTTTTGCAACGCCTTTTCTTTATCATTTCCACGACCTTGGCCCAGTTTTGCTGGCACTGCAAGACTCTTGGTGACAAGTGGAAATTGTTCAATATCGTCACAGTCCAATCGTCGATCCTGAACACGGTCCAGAGACCAAGATCCTCTGCTACGAGTTTCCACAACAAATATCATTAGTGCGCAGGATGTTCCAGGGCTTGGGTCGCCTTGACACGTGGTCAATATTGAAAGGCTTCGTGAAGGCCAAGTCGATGTGAAACCACATGATAATTGGTTCATCTGGTGGTGAACCCATTTTTTCCACCAATTGCCGCATATGTGAGGGCAAGTGGTATCTGCGAAAATTGCAATTGCATTGCAAGTATCGGTGGTGTTGCTGCGGTTTCCCATCCCTAGAGCGTATCATAAAACACCACACGTTGCTTGGTTTGACCGGTGGCAAGTGCACTTGGTGAAACAACTTGGCCACGCATTTGAAAGCCATGTATCACACGGTTTTTGCATCCAAAAAGTCACTCGGAACTTGTTGCGTTCATCATTCAGTGTGTCTAAATGTCCAACATGCAAGCGTTCATGTCTGAACTGAGGCCAAGATTCTCCCATGGCGTTGAAATTTGCCCACCAAAGTTGCCAAGGCGTAATCCTTTTGTGTTGTGGTATCATCCGGAAAGCACATAATGTAATGCTTAGATAGCTTTGTCAGTGCGGAGGCCATTTGCGCAAATCACAGATCGGCAAAAACCAGTCAAACTTTCAGCCTGCTTCTTCAAAAAGGCGAATTGGTTCTATTTCCAAAGTTGACACGAAAAACGGCACCAATGTTAATCCAAGTTTGCATATCGTTCAGACTTGGTTCCCCAGTTCCAGGCACAGCCTATAAGTGATAAAACAAGTACAAGTAGATATCAAAAGAACAAAAAATGGTTGGAATATACAAACTCACCAATTGTATTAAAATACACTGTTTACTTTTTACGCACTTTTCCTTGTCTTGCAAAAGGGCTGCAATCAACTCACATGCACAAAGTGTACAAGCAAACTGTTCTATCTATGATGCTAGTAATGCGATGTTTCTGCACACTAACTCCTATGGAAAGTGGTTCGCACTCCTTCTTGGCGATGTGAGGCTCCACAGTGTCTCTTTGAGCTCACTTTGCCATCATAGTCCATTTTTTCCATTTTTTTTCTCTCTCACTCCCTCTCTCTCTCTGTGAGTTTTCTTCTCTCTCAGGAATTGGGTTCCCAGAGGTTGGTGACACTTCGCATCTGTTCTTGTCTTACTTCGCCGTGTAGCGCTGGGTTCAAAAGAGTCGGGCTATCCGGGGCGATGGGTGATGGACTGGAGCGATCCCTGCCAAGTGGGATCTGTTGTGTCTGGTTTTGATTCCATTCAGCATTGCAGCGTTGAAGTTTACAATGCAAGAGTTTTTGGATTTAACCTGTTGGCACATTTCGGATTTTACATTTACATTTGAGTTGCAGTCGATTTCATTTGTATTTGTCTCAACAGGGACGAAAGCATTGTTGGTCGGAGCCCAATTGAGTCGTGTTCTTGAATCCGTTTTGACATGGTCACGGAACAGCATGACATGTTGATGGCAGCTCTTTCCTCTTGATGGTTGTTTGGTAACGCACCTTTCGAGCCCACGCGCTCCAGCGGAGTAGTTTTCAACTAATGAACAGTGCACCTCATGACTGTACATCTAGGTTACCTAGTAGGTACACAACTCTTGACACGCCGAAGCGAGTCGTATTTCGCTTCCATCAGCTAGACACTGCTATCTGCTAAGCAACCACTGGTTTAGGCCGTCTTGCTTTCAATAGTCTACATCAAAGGAAGTTTGGAGGAACTTCCGTGTTACGAACATTTACATCACTCATCATACACCACTCGTCATACACCACTCATCATACACCACTCATCAAACATCACTCATCAAACATCACTCATCATACACCACTCATCATACACCACTCATCATACACC